TGTTATCTAACAAAGGACAAAAAACATTAGCCGTGTGAACTTCGCAATTTTTATTTTTGATTGTACTTCAGAAAATTTTCCCTACAAGGGAAATTTACTCACTGTTTAAATATTTCAATTTGACTCGATGCAAGACTCGAGAATAACTCAAGTTAAACGGTTACTTTCAAAACAAGAATGTTGTATGACGTTTTTTCTAATCTTACATGTGGCAAAAGACCGAAAGTGAGGATCGAATTCACTAATCAGTCGTAAGATACAATATTGCGAACCACTACACCATGTGTCCTAAAAAGATTGTCTCATTGTTATTTAGATGTGGATAATCCGGTGAGGTTCAAACATACTACACGGTCGTAAATTATCTAGATGAGGCATGTTTGCTAACCATGATGCCTCGTCGAAGTGCTCTATAACGATTTTCTGAGCGTATATTAGATACGACACAAGGCCGAATGCATTAAGAATCCAGTATGGTTCGCACTTACTACTCAGTCCTAATCAATTTAGCTAGACAAATTTGCTAAACATTACACCACGTTGAAGTTCCCTAGGAATGTGTTTTGTGACGTGAATGAAAGATAAGGTGGTAGGAACAGAAGAGTATGTAGATAATGGGAATAAATAACGATATAGCCTTTGACTTGAAGGGATTAAGATTACTATCTTCATGGAAACATCCTCGTTGGCGCCTTTTATAGGTGTGTAATAATCCCTGAAGCAAAAAAATCTCTCTGAATAGAACTTTATCCTTAATATTAGAATCAGGGGAAATGGGGGTGTTTTGACATTGTGGAAGTAGTATGGTATATAGTTGTAAAGGTCTGAACTGGTGGAAGAAAAGAATGGAGTTTATCTTAACTCTTGTCATGAAAATAGCCATAGTGTAAAAGTTGGAATATTCTATTCAAATTTTAAAAGTTAGCAGCCACAGATTCTTAGGTTTTGGTGCTATGGAGTCTTCTACTTTCAAACCAGTGGCTTCGTGTGCTTCCATTATTCTAGGAAAATCAATACCTGTTAAAATTGGGTTAACTGCGGCCTCTTAGATCATGCAACATTTTTGTCGATTGAGTATCAAACAGACTATAATTTTAAACTTCAACATTATATATATATATATATATATATATATATATATATATATATAACTTCGCATTACTTTTTTGTCGAACCGAACGAGTTTTAAAAAAAGCAGACCTCGGCGCCATCGATTAACAAAGACTTCTAGAAATGGATAAAAGCACTGAGGCACCTGCTCAACACAATGTACATCTCTGGTGTCAGTTATTGACTTCTAAGAGAAGGTCGTCGGCGTAAACGGTTCGCGATGTGCCGCCACAAAGAAGCGAATATTGTCAGCGGGTGCAGATAATTGAAATATCTCTTGTCTGTATATAATAAGAAGTTTATTTTTAACATTTCTTTTGTGAAAAGCCCAACGATATTTAAAACCTTCCGAACGAAAACAAAGGTAGATATTGTTTTTATGATAGAAAACAAACACAAATAAAGCGATGAGAGTATTTACAAGACGATTAGAAAGCAATATTTTTTAATTATATCAAGCAATATACAGGGCACGATGGGTAAATTGTCTCCATTTATGGTTTTTTAAATTCGCGCATGTTTTTTTAATTTTGTCGATTGCAAAGTATAGCAGGGTTAATTGGGCACTATCTGTGAGAAAAATAGCACCATGAGACAAGGGTATGCTGTACTGTTTGGCATTCGTGCCGGAGCCTCCAATATGAACATTTCAATATGAACATTTGGATGAGTCTAATGGTGCTTATGAAGGTGTTTGTAGTGATCACTAGTGACGGCGAGGTTATAGCTCCATTCATCTTTCCACAGGGCCCCAGAATAAACACGGAGGCCTACATCAAGTCAAGAGGGTGGCTGCTGGAAAAGCCTATATCTGGTAACAGG